CTCGAATGCATATATCGCACGTACAGGTCATTCAATAGCAAGGACGACAGCAAAGTGGTAGCTGCAGCAACCGGTCCAACCACGTTACTCGGACCGAGTACAGCGGTCGGACATGCGGTCGGACTACACGACCCAGATCTCGACTACTCCGTTTTACGCAAGAGACAACGATACAACACAGGAAAGGGGGAACAGGAGTACTCACCAGCATTTCCCGAATCATAGTCCCCGGTGCGAGGCGCACAACCAGACCCACGATCATCCCTCCAATAATCGCGACCAGTGTCTCGTGTATTGCGCGTATTCGCTTGATTTGCAGATAGTACGAGGTGAACAGCGATAGAACGAGGAGGCCGCAGACCAGGAAGAGCGACCATGACGAATAGTACTCTTCTTCCTCTGGAGGTGCAGGGGTGATGGAAGGCGAAGGAACCGCGGTCGTGGGCGTTGGTGGGAGACTAGACGACATTAGAGCGAGATTACGAGACCTGTAGTGTACAATCCCGATTGTCGGCCCAGATGTTTGACGGCCAGGACAACCAGAGCGAACGAGTCGTGGTGGGCAAGTTGGCGGGCGAATGCTATGCCCCACGTAGATATATAGACGCCCATCTGGCTCAGCCGTGGGCGAGGCGCTAAACAGCGTCTATACTACCGCACCGGACTCAGGGCTGTCAGTACATGTCAGTGTCAATCATGGAGCATGGTGCGTACAGTGGACAGCACTCTTCGTCTGACCACTACCCTGTGCAAGCAAGCAGTTTTCGAATCTGCGTGGAAGAGCTATGCAACGGATCAAACGAACAGTTAAACGATGGTCTGCCAGTGCGACCATTTTGAATCGTTCTTCACGGATCGTTGCGCTCACAGAAGCTGACATCGACTCTGGCAGCTGCGTGTACGATCTCAAGCACCCGCCGCCCTCGGATAACGCATCGCCCACCCATGATTTTATTGGCCAGCTGCCTTTCGAATCTTTCGATGACCCTCCAGGTCGTACCCCATCCTACGACCAAGAATCCTACTTTACTAGACCTTCGAATCGCATTTCCTACTGCGACCAAGGAACATCCCTGCTGGGTCGCTCCTTTTACGACCAAGCGCCATCCCCTCCAAAATGTCTACCCTACGGTCGTCGAAAACCATCCTCCTGGAGTCGTTCATCCCGCATCGATGTGGAATCTTTCCCTTTGTTAACCCAACTCCTCATACCCGACAATGCAAGTGCCGACAGCGACAGGCTATCGCGCCTTCCTCGAGAGCTCAACGACCGCATCCCAGTCGAGATCGTCTGGCAGGTCATCGACTGGCTCGTCAGCGATAACCAGAGTCTACTGGACTGTGCGCTTGTCTCGCATGCATGCTTCGAGTATTGCATGGGGCTCCTGTATACAAATATCGTCATCTCGCGCCAAGGGACATTCAGCCTGCTCGCACAATCGGGGTATCAGCACGCTGCTGTGAGGGAACGCCTCTCTCTCACGCGATCGCTGCAACTCGACGGGGGCAAGATCGTGTTTGCTCCAGATGGCGAGAACGATGGCGAGAACGATGGCGAGAGAAACAGTCCGCGAAGACCCATCTCCGTAGAGAGCATTTCCCCTGGTGCATTGTTGACTCTCTGCCCATCTCTCGAGTGCCTGGCCTTCCGGAACTGCACGGCCGCCCCAGCTCATCACACATTCTTCCGGTCACTCCGTCTCTGCACGTCGGTGACTGAGCTAACCCTCGCCAACGTCACCTTCTCCAACTTTTGCGATCTGCAACGCGCTATTTCCTCCCTGCCGCGTCTGCACAGACTGGAACTGGAGGGTATCTCGTATCCTAGCCATAAACGTCTATCTCTGGGCATTAACTTAGGCATTCGGGCTCGCGGACCGTCGCATAGCTCAGTACTGTCGCAGCTGGGTCATCTTTGCATTGGTAGCAATCTACCAGGAGACATACTCTTCGCCCTCGTAGATTGGCTCATCGCCACTCCGGCTATCTGCGAGGGAATACATACCTTGGAGGTTTGGCAGACGGACAGCTATTTATCTTCGATAAATAGGCTGCTTCAAGCCATCGGCCCATCCTTGCTAAACATGCACGAGAGAAGCAAAGTAGCGGGTAAAGAACGTGAGTGCATCTCGTGTCCTGTCATCCGTCATACGCGTTGACGAACGTCCTATCTACGTATGCAGACCCACATTTCGATCTTCGTCACAACACCCGCTTACGCCGCCTCCACTCCTACATCGAGTCGCTCGAAGAGGCCCCCGTGCAGGACACGCTCCTGCCCTTCCTCTCAACAGTCCACAGCAACCATCTCGAGGAGATCAAGCTCTCGATGTGTTTCGGGCTGCTCTTCAGCGCCTCGTTCGAGGCGCGAGTTGCCAAGTCCATACCTGATCCTGGCCGCGTTGCACCGCTGCAGCGCTCCGTGTTCGCAACGCTGCGGTCTGTGGTATTGGACATAAGGCTGGTTTGGTACGCACAGAGGGAGGATCTCTTTCTGGAGCAGATGTGCATCATGCTTGCGCCGTGGCATGCGCGTGGTATACTCACGGTCGAGAGGACCGTGGGGCTGTTCTGAACGTGACTCGCCATTCAGTTCAACTACTGTAGTGTGGTGTATTTCTTGATTTCTGCTGCTGAGTGCAACGACGCCTTGGAGCCACGGAGGTGACAGCACGTATGGACCATGACATCGATTACCATAACGACCTTTGAGCCTCCGACGTTTGTACTGGAACCCGATGTTTTAAATAACTGGAACAAACACTATGTATTCGCGCCATGCCTTATGTACTGCAAGAACTTACTACAGGTTCAACAAAAAGGCCTGCCGTCTGCGTGCCGGACAACATCCTCAGCAGCTTTCCACTTCTAGATGCTCTGAGCCGGGTTGACCAGTTCGTTGCTGTTGTCCCCGAAGAAGTCCGAGTCCAACTTGCCCTCCCCCCTCCAGCAGGATTCTGCAGCCAGAACTTGACGTGATCAGACACAACCGCATGAGCTGTCTTTGCGCTTACTTTGCATGGTTCAAAGGTCCTTCCTTCGGCCTCTGCAGGTACCCTGTGCGAGTCTCCTTGAACTCAGAAAGGTCGAGAAATGCGAGCTGAATCTCGCCCTTTGTCTCCACTCCCAGCTCGCCGCGCGCTCTCTGCACGATTTCCTTGACTGTCTCAGGCGGTACATGTGCCATCTGATTGAACGCTCGCAGCTGTCTCGGGGGTATGCGCGAGGGGAGCGAGTTCCGCGAGCGCATGGTCGGTGTCTACCATGGATCCGGAGGCGGCGCAGATCCTGGCGTCGGGCAACACAGGTGTACATCATGTTCAATAGCAGTGTCAAATCCGACTGGACAGAAATGATAAAACCCGCCATGGAAACCGAGGATTCAAATAATCAAAGCTACGCCATGGGAACATCAAGGGAAGGGCCCGGGTAGCGACGGCCCGTGTCTTTCCCCATTGCCCAAAATGAAGTACTGGTGACTGTGCGGTGGCTCGTATGAATGATACCTGCGAGGCAAGCGTTCAGTAAGTTTCCTTCATCAGACTCTGGCATAGCAACGACCAATCTATTATTTTATTTTATAAGCGAAGAGGACGTCCGCATGACGGAGGCTAAGCTGTGGACGACAGGACTGAAGGGACGTCCCAATATTGACATGGATTCTGGGGAGGGGCAACGCCTGCAAAGCCACAGTTTGTTTGTTCATGTTTGAGATCTGTGGCGACGCGCGAGGCAGTGGTACACACTCTTGCAGAAACTTCGTAAGGTTCCACAGCCTCTAGATACGCAAAGTGAGCGTGTAAATGGGGGTTTGACATCGCCCCCGAGATAGTGTTCAATCTGAATTTTCGAACTTCGGATTTCTTTGTGCCGAAATGGGCTATACCAGTAGTAGATCTGATGCAAAAACAAGGATTTTCGTGAATCTAAATTGGACACTACCTGCAAATGGTCTTAAGCAACATCTTTCTCATAAGTGACTAGAGGTAGAAGTGCATGGTTTGTGCTATCAAGTTGCGACAAGGTCACAGGCTCAGACGCGCTGAGATCTGTGCCACAGACGCGTCGTACCGATCACGTGAGCGCTCGTGGCCCATACAGCCGGGTGTTGCGATGTATATTCCTGCTCATTGTCGGCCCCGTCTGCTTGGAATACACACCATATACCTTTGGTATGTTCAGTGTTACTCTGTTGTACATCACAGCCAGCTCACCGAATATTCTAGGATCCATCTACACCATATAGAATAACCTACAGCTAGTATAAGCATCAACATTCATGACATTGACTCGGACATAATCGCCAGTGCGACAGCAGTGCTGTGTCATCTACACACAAATGAGAAACAAGAGCCATGGAGCATACAAAATTCGCCATCCTCGAAGAACAGCAGCTCAGAAAGAGTCCTTAGTCAAAGCACAGGAGGCTTGTAGGAAGGGATCGGGGAAAGAGAACTTATCTGATGCCTCACTGAAGCGCAGACGAACACTACGAGAAAGTTCAACTGCTAGTAAGGTGAGTATTTATGTCTGGATCATGAGTTTCGTGAATACAGACCTTCAGAGTGCAGGCAACCAAAGCCAAGCTCGAACATACTCGAGCTGAACTAGAAGAGACACGGAGTGCTCTGCGTAACATTGAAGACATGTCCCGAGATACCTACAACCTTGCGAGAAGAGCCGAGGAGGAGAAGGAAAGGTTAGCCATTCAAGTGCAACAGATGTGGACGAAACTCGAGCAATCGCGATTGCGGCTGCGAAATACTCAGCGCCGCGAAGCCCGCATGAGAAAGAAGATATGTACCCTTCAGGCCGAGCTGGAACAGTTGGAATACTTCGCCCTCGTCCTCGGTCGGCGCGGTATCGTTTTCCCAGACACGAGCAACACCCAGTACCAGTCGAACTGCAATGCAGCAGGGGAACTGCTAGTCAATCGTTCGCATTACCAGGAGTTCCTTGCCATCATCCGTGACAAGAAGGAGAAGCCTGGTTTTAACCATATGGAGGAAAATATCTGGCTCGCACTTCATGACATCCCGACACTCACCGAATTGGCAGTACTCGCCATTTATGGCGAGGTTGTCTGTATCCCGTACATCCGTTCAGCACGCGCATGCCAAAACGGACTCCGGCTCGGGCCCTTGCACGATCGCGTCAAGGCACACAGCGCATCACTGATCGACAACCCGAACCTTGTACTCGCAACCGACGCTACCTATGAAACAGCCGTTCTAGACGGTAGTGAGTGGGAACGTTCGGAGGTCATAGAAGCCATACATCGGATGATACCTGAGCTCCCAGCTCTACCAGCAATCCTTGTGGCCTTCCTCAAGGGGGCAGCCGAGACGTGGGAGCGCTTTACCGAGGAATTTGCACCCGGGAGCGAAATCAGCACTGCGACAAGTGACGAACTTGACCAGGCATGGATGCTATCAACGAACGATGCAAACGAGGGCGCACTGGGGGCTTACCGGTTGTGGACACGCCAGAATCCCCGTAGGACCCAGGCCTACTTCAATGCGCAGAAGCGCTACCACGAGAACAGGACGCAGGACTTCATGGACGCGATGTTGGATGAAGGCGACCATACGCACATTCGCCAGAAGGCGCGGGAGCTTGACAGTAGCGGGCACGAGGTTCGACGTCGCGAGCAACAGGCTGAGCATGACATCGCTGTTGCTCGACAGCGAGCTGCTGAAACCGCGGCGAAAGAACAGCGCGCGAGGGGACGTGTGACGCGGCTGCGGGAGATCGAGCTGATAGATGATGAAGTCAGGCTCGAGAAGCTGACTAGGGATGAGATTGACAATCAGTTGAAGGTTCGCCGACTCGACGACCCAGACATACTGTCGATCTCATCCATGAAGAAGAACCACGTTAAGAAAGCGGAAGCTCTCGCCGAACTTCGCAAGGCAATTGCACGCGCAATGGCACGCGAAGCGGCAGTGCAGCCTGGCTCGCAGTCACAGACGGTGGGACCGAGTACTCACCAAGACGATACTGTACAGCTTGATCAGACGTACACACTAGTCGTTGATAATGACCTTGATTCGGACACGGAAGAGTAAAATTTTGTACATACTTTTTAGTGTAGATGCATCGTAGTACCTATAGAAGTGAATTGGTATCCTCGACACAAGATCGCCGAGGTATCCAGAGTAGATATGAGCAGGGGAGGCATGATCGACGTTGTGCAGAGACGCGATCGAGAGTCTGCCCATGTTTTCGGTGGCGCGTTGCTGACTAAGCGACCATCGGCGTCAGAGGCCTTGCCCCTCCCCACCAACAGCTTCTTTACCCACCGTCTGGTCTTTTTCTTCGACCACCACCTTCCCTCGTCGTCCTGCGTATACCCCTCCTCTATCCCTCAAACCCGCAATGCGTTTTTTCCTCGCTGCTCTTGCCGCTCTCCCGGCCGCGCGCGGTACGTCAATGGCGCCGTCTCTGTGTGGCTGAGGAACCGAACAACGTTGAATAGCCGCGATCACCATCCTCGCGCCCTCTGACTCTGAGTACTGGTAAGTGTGCGCTCACGGGATAATGGCAGAAGTTATTGAACCGTCGGGTCGACAGGGTCCAGAACCAGACGAACACCATCACTTGGGACTACACTCCCGGTGACCCAAACCCGATTGACATCGTTGTGTCCAACACTCAAAACACGACGCTCAATGGCAACTTCAGCATTGCGCAATATGTCAACCTCACCACGCAGGTAAGCCCGTGCGAGCCAGCCGGAATGCGTCCCCCAGCTGACCCGCACCCTCGCAGAGCTTCACAGTGTAAGCGTTGCCTCCACGTTGCGTGATTCCCACTGCTTACACACTGCCCGCCTGCCCGCAGGACGAACGTGACTCTCGTCACCGGTGGTAACTACCAGGTGAGCTTCGTGGACCCCGCGAACGCGTCGGTTGTATACGCGACGAGCGGCACCTTCTCCGTCGACGCTCCAGGCAGTAAGTCACTCCGCGCATCGTGTCATCACACACGACGGACTCTCACGCGTGGCTTCTAGCGTCTGCTGCCCCGTCCGTCTCCCCGTCCAGCGTGAGCTCTTCCGCTTCAGGCTCCGCCGCGAGCAGCACCTCGCCCTCGTCCTCCGGCAGCAGTGCGAGTACGTCCAACTCTGCGAGCGCAGCCCCCGCTCAGCTAGGCATGTCTGCCGGCGGTGTCATGGGTGTGATCGCCGCGTGCGGTGTCGCCTCATTGTCCGCGCTCCTCCTATGATCTCCACCCATTCAGACGTGGAAAAGGCCTCCCGGAGGCCCGTGGCATCACTACGGACAACCCTCTTTCTGTCTTGGGAACTCTTGTGTCTCTCTGGTGTTGAACTGTCTCGTCGCTTGAATCCCGTCCGCTCGTTGCTCGTGATGACTCCGCCATCTCTTGGGATTCGAACGTTTTGTACGGACAGTGGTCTTCTCTTGGCTGTTGTTGTTGCATCTACTGTACTTACATATGTGTGTACGCCAGGTGATGAACTTGGGTTTGATGTTCTTGACGTCCTCTGGGTCTGTTGTCTGTTCAGTGGATGCTAGAGCTTACTGTATCACTGAGGTCATAAATGACTGGTGAACCAGAAGACGCACGTATAATCATTCAGTTTCCGCGCCGGCCAGCCGAATGACCTACTTGGTACATACTGATACTTCTGTAGACGTTAACGTAGTGAGGCAAGACGCCTGCACGCGTCACGCTTCATTTATAGGTACGGTAACTCTCGGCGACGGCTAGGTTCGACACAAGCCCCTCACGTGTGAGCCGTGTGGAGGGTCTTGGTATGAGACTACGGCGACGGCGCCGTTCCTCCACTGCCAATGTGGCAGGCACGAAGGGACCGGGATATTGAGATTAGTACTGTCGTGCCTCAGCGAGGCAACACTCATTCTCTGGTATGCCATCGTTGAACACACATATCATGCTCTTACCAGTGAATACTGAGTACAGTAACCTGACCCGCAAAGGCTGAAACCTGGCCATTTGGAGAAGTACTGTACTGATAGGAGCTCAGCAGTCTAGCTCGGGACACTCTCAGATACTTAGACACGCCAGACTTCAAGCTGGCAGAGACAATTGTCGGGGTCCATGTGGCTAGTCGAGAGATGGCTGAGTTTCGCTCTCCAGCAACATAGAAATAATAGGAGATGAGGAGGGTTTTCCATCCGTGATGGGCGAGAGCCTTTCACCGGTATATAGCTATGCTCCTTGATCACAATCAAACGCAGTGGCATGAGAGGATTGACCATTAGTAGCTAGCTAGCTGCCACACCTATCCACGATCTTGCGGACACAGAGATCACAGACATAGAGATCATCACATTGACGAGGTTTTCCGTCCTCACTGCCAGCGGACCGGCTTGCCAGACCCGGCTGACGAACTCCCAAAACACACCGATGGCCCGGAGGAGGCCCGGGACAGGAACCATTCCCATAGAACATCCGCCGATCCTTGACGACAGCAAAGGAAGGGACAAGGAACTTACGAAGGGCGCTGCATGACACCTCCTGTCAGCTGGCCTGGCAGTTCCTGTCCAGCGAAGGTACGCGGCATTGCGTACATAGTACGTCGTTCCCTCTTCGTCCCGTCAGTTTTCAGACAATCAGATAAGTCGAGAAGAAGGATCTTCGCACCTTGAGGATATATCTGTGGTGAATCAGCCTTCTACATCCGCCGCAGACGAAACCTTGGTTCTTGCATATGGTGCGCGATGATAATGCCGCCCCTGAACGACCGACTGCATCTAACGCCGAGTCCCGAGAAAATTGCCAGATAGTTCGTGGATTGGACTGGCTTGTCACGATAAGGTTTCTAGCACAGGAAACTCGGAACCAGCTGTGAACAGGCAGTAACAAGTAATAGCCCGCGTTGAATGTCATAGCTAGTGAATATTTAATTTGCGGCCAACAGTGAGGACCGGTAGCACGTGTGTATCGGAGACGCTACTGTGGACGCGCTCCCGCGCGATCGTGATCGAACTCGCCAAGATACACAGCGGCCACCTTGGCGGGCAAACATTTTTCGCCCGCCCCTTGATGCGCCCTCCGGAGCCGGAGATGGGTTTTCCAAGTTTTATCGCCCGGGCACGCTATGAGGCCGATTATCAGGGCGTCGGACAGCGTGAGATCCCTCTGTCCGTTCTCCGCATCTCCAGGAGCGCCAGCTCTCCGCCTGGTCACTCGTCTAGCCTTCGCTGTCAAGTGCTATCTACCCGCTCTGCTGCGTGCGTGGCGGAACGTCAACGCGAAGCTGATAGCGGCTCCTCTAGTCTCTCCACCTCCCCAGTGCGCGTGGACCCACCTGCGAGCTCCCCCCTGCTCCAGCTTTCTTCCGTACGACCATGTCGACTTTCCCCGGAACGAAGGAGGGCCTCCCGAGCACCGACGTGGACGCGAGGTCCGTAACAAGCTCCCAGTCCCCCAATGGGAGCCTCGACGCCGACGACAGGCTGCTCGCGGAGTTTGGCTACGTGCCCTCCTTCAAGCGCGAGTTCTCCAACCTGGCGACGGTGCGCACACGATCTACGCTCGCGAGCGATCCTCCTAATCTGCGTCTGCGCACATAGATCAGCTTTGCGTTCAGTATCATGGGACTCTGCTCCAGTGTTGCGACGACGTTCAATACGCCTCTCCTTACCGGTGGCCCCGCGTCGGTGACATGGTGCTGGATCCTTGGTGCTTGCATGTGCTTCACTCTCGGTGCGTGCTTGCCCCCCATTTGTTCTGGATTGCCGTCCTGCGCGTGGGTTATCTCAAGCTTCTACGCGTGCGCTTTGATATGCGGTGACTGGACTGCTGAGTTGCTGCCACTTGGATCTTTTTCGCAGTGCCAGCCAATGGCACAGGTACCAGTCATTACAACCCTCTCACGAGAGGCTCTGTTCGAGGTATCCCATTCGCTTTATCAGGCGGCTTCTGTCGGTGTAGCGGACATTGACACGGGAGCCTCTTCGGGCGATGGTGGCTACCTGTGACGCTCAGGTGCCATCTTGTCGTCAGTCCGTTGACAGCTTTTTCCACATGGTGCCGCTGTTTCGCAGCGAACGTGTCTCAAGTGGTCACGCAAGATAATATCCTCCTCAGCCTGGTGCGCACTCAGCGTACCAGTAGCTGTATAGGTGTACGACGTGGGGGCGAAACATCGAAACCGCCACACTCCGCTTGAGTGTAATTTGACATTCAGGGAGCCTGACACGGTGGAAATAACTGTGACTGCTTGTAATCTTGTTTGCACAAACAACGCGCAACCCACCGTCTCGTCCCATGACTGCGTTTCCAAGCTCGAGCTAAGCAAGGATTCTTTTCACCGTAGGTTCTAGCATCGCCGAGATCGTCAGCGCATTCCCGACGTGCGGCGGCCTCTACACCGCGTCAGCGCAGCTCTGCCCGCCGCGCCACCGCGCCATCGTTGGCTGGATCGTCGGCTGGCTCAACCTGCTCGGTGCGTGCCCAATGCTCATTCCTCTTCGGGGCCGGAGAACTCACGATGGGACTGACGGGTGGATAGGCCAAGTCGCTGGTTTGTCTTCGACGGAATTCGGTCTGGCCAACATGATCTGGGCGGCGGTCGTCGTTGCGAAGGTCAGGCATGCATTTTGTGCCGTGCCGCACTGGGAGCTCATATTGGACTGGATGAAAATGCAGGACGGTGACTATGTCGTCACTCAAGGCATGACTGTCGGCCTGTTCGCCGGTCTTCTTGTCTTCAACGGGCTTCTCGTAAGTCATTCTTCTGTGTGAGGCGTACTCAAGCTCTGGCATTGACCGCGTGCGCGTGCGCGACAGAATTGCCTCGCGACGCGCCAACTCGCGCACATCACCAAGGCCTTTGTGTTCGTCAATCTCGGCGCGACTATCAGTGCGTACCCTCCTCCGTCTGGCCGCTAACGTCCGTTGACTGACCCTCACGCCCGCCCACAGTCATCATCATCGTACTCCTTGCGATGACGCCGCGCTCCGAGATGCACGCCGCCTCATACGTCTTCGGCTCCGATGGCATCGTGAACCAGACGGGCGGGTGGAACACGGGGCTCGCGTTCCTGTTCGGGTTGCTGAGTGTCCAGTGGACGGT